GTACTGTGCACATTTAGGGGGTGATCCTGGACATCATGGGTTCGAATCCTGGTGGTCGGGTCATTTACACACGTGTACACACACATACATATACACACACGCACACTGTACATAAATATTAAATAAATATTTGAAAACGGCAGCAAAGAGACTATGAAATGGGATAACAAAGCAGCATTTGAGCCATACACAATGAGGGGGTAATAATGTAGGGGGTGTGCGCGCCCCTTACAAAGTCCGCACCGGGAGAAGTGTTCGAGGGGGGCTAATGGCACCTTACACATCACGATGAACAATGCCCACAAGAGGAGAGGGGGGAAGTAAGGGGAAACTGTTCTCAACCTCCGCTCCAGAAAATCGATTAAGCACCCTCAATTGCGAGGGGCTCAATCTTGAGTATTATGTTTTTAAAAGGACTTTACTGTTTTCTTTTGAATCGCCTGCTTCAGCGAGTTAGGCCAATGAGAGTGAAAGTAAGCAAGAGTTAACATTTTGGAGACGGGAAAGGTGGTGTTCACATGAAGGTGGGACAGGAGCTGGTGGGTCTCCCCTACAACCCCCCCCTTTAGTGCGCGATGGGTGTGTCTACCACACAACCAACACTGTCGAGAGCTACTCTTATACACCACTGGTCAAGACCGTGAAAAAATACTACTGGGTAATGACAAAGATTCAAAAGATAATCTTTTCCTTCAAAGATTCAAAGATAATCTTTTCCTTCTTTCATTTTTTTTCATATATTTCACATCCAGCACCATCTGTGGCAGTTTTTTTGGGATTTTTTGTATTTTTTTTTTAGTCTTAAAATGGTCACAATATCAAGTTGACATAGATACTACCGAGTAGAGTATATGTTATTGCTTTCTGGTTAAAAAGTGAAGAGAATGCATGTGTCAGAGGTGTTGAGATAATCTTCTACATCCCGCTACGGGCCACAAGGTTCAACAGTCTGGTAGAATCAGGATTGACACCTTCCCATCCGCTAAGACAATGTTATATGCTGGATGCATCAAGCTTGTACCTCATACTTTCAATCGTAAATTTTTGTGTAAGTAGTAAATCTATAAATTTTATATAATCTGAATTCATAACATAACTCTGAAATATGAGCATTTGTTAATTAAGCAATAAATTATCTAATGTAAAAGCAAAAGGTCTGTTTGCATTTAAACAGCACGTAACAGCCATCTGCACACAGCTAGTCAGGAGCCTTCACAAAGTTTACAATACCACCGTGGTCTACAGACACCAGTACACTCCTGTAGTATGGTCTACCCCCACATGCCCCGGCTGGAATTCAGTATTCCCTGAGAATTACAATGCACTAGACGCTCATAATTCTCCATGGCAAACTGACCCCAACGGCAACGTGACTTGCAGACCAATTTGCCAAGAGAGGGATTAACCGCGTCATCATTGTGGAGGGAAGATAATCAAGGGTCACCTGATGGTGGGTTAACAGCAATTCCTGGCTCTCTGCTCAACAGGTCAACAACAAACAAACTCGTAAATGAAGATGAGCGCTCTTTAAGTCACACGAATAAAACAATCATCCTTAAATTATAAAAATTAAAAATTAAACAACCATTCTACTAAATTCACTTAGGAACATATAGCTAATTATTTCAACTACAAAAATAAAACTAAAAGTATCAAACACTTGGCCTATCAAATAAAAAAATACCATTATTAGGAGAAAATCAGAGGTAAGCATTATACAATGCTGCAGAAATAATATAAAATAGCAAGAGCCAGAGGCTCTGCTTGCTTCTTACATCATTATCCTCCGGGGACGCAACTTGCACTCAACAAGAATTAAGCAAAACATTAAATGCAACATGGTATGAATGAGCCAAACAAACTGGGGGAGGGGGAATGAGCAGGCAGATAAGGTGTGGCTGGCAGACCACAAGTGTGGTCGATCAAACTAAAGACGCAGCAGGCGGCAGGAACAGCATTTTGACAATATCCATTTGGTAAGGGGGAGGGAGCCACTAGCTGAATGGTAGACTACTAATACACAGGTGACCCAACTAGCTCCTCGTACAGCAATCCTATGCCTCAACAAGCGCTCCCTCATAACCTTTCTTCCTAGATTCTCTCCTCGACCATGACAAGTGAATGAAGATTCATGGTACACGTGTTCTGTCTCTTGTGTACATCGCACGAAACATGCAGAACGAAGCTATCGATAGGAGGAGTGCGAGGCGTGTAGGTTGGGCGTGGTGGGTGTGGTGTGGGAGAGTGGGGGTGAAGGTGCCACACCCTGCCACCTACACCAACCCCATCCACCCTCCACCTGGGCCGTCACTCGCGGAGATATATTTTGGGGGGCTACTCTTTATGCTCGGGTTTTCTCACATTTTTATCATCAGCATTATAAAGAATATATTACCATTATAACTATAAATATTTATTAACTATTGATGGCCAGAAAGATGCCGAGGGAGGACGCCCAGCGACCCAACACGAGATCTTCAATGATTCTAGCTTTCAACATCAGTCCTCGGAAAGGAAGAACAAAGCTGCCTGCAACACGTGAAGCCAGAGAAACAGGCCATAGTGAACAATGGGCGTGGCGGCGCAGGTCCCTTGGCCTCCAGATATAAGGCAACAATACCAAAGAGCACGAGAAGAGGTCCACTGACTGACTCTAGCCCGGACCACCATTCATCCTGTGGCCAGAAACGCTAGCTGCCTCAGATTATTAAGGCAATAAAACGGGCTATACCCTAAGTCTGAATATTTTGGTTTACTTGGCAACCCATGGGTATGGAACAAATACTGCAATAGAACAGCGTCTGGGTTTAGGAGAGTGGTAATCGAGCCATACGTCAGCCTTACATCTGAATACTGGGAAAAATAATGTGGCGCATTGCAGCGATTACCTACCCGCTGGAAGAGCTGTGTGCTGGGGGAACTCCCACGTCCCAACACCACTCGAATTGAGCGTGTGAGAGGCGTCGGTGGGAGGCGGCAGGTAGGGAGTTCACTACAGGGACTCTCGAGCCCGCAGTAACACTACCAGGACTCCCAAGCCCGCAGTAACACTACCTCGCCACAGTCGCCCCGGCTCCACCGTACATAATCGCTTGCAACGCTCACAAATAATGAGCATATGCTTTTGGCCTTGCGAGCCTCCCTGCTGCAACATGCGTGTCGTAGTAATCCTTGCTACAAGCTGCAATCTTGCATGATCCAAAAATGTTTCCTATAATCCGCAAAAAATCCCCTTTATTAATACAAACTATGAACAATTTTAGCATTAATTAATTAGTCTAGAAAATTTGTTTTTATTCCCAGCCACAAAACAGAAGAGTAGACAACTCTCCCTAAGTCCAGAAACCTTTTGATCAATGGATTAAATGTTTATCACAACAGAAAACTTTTGACGGATTATCAGATAAAAGACCTTATACTCTCAAGTCTTTGCGGCAGAGATTTTATGTATTACATAGGCCTACAACATTATTTGATATAAACTCTAAAATATGGCATATACCAGATATAATAAAAGTCTGCTTATAATGATTATTTCTCCACTGTGACAATCTAAATAGGGAACTGTGGGAAGGTGGTGCGGTTTGGTTGGCTGGCTGGTTGCTGCCGAATTAAGACCAAGCGAGGCCGCTCTAGCTGGTCCAAATAGACGTCACTGAGACAAAACTAACGTAATCTAGGATTCCGGCAACGCCTCCTCTCACCACATACCATTATAGAAGTACGAACGCTCAGCTCTATCAGAATATACTTGATACTCAAATATATATATATATATATATTATTATAGGTATATAGACTATGATGAGTGGAACTTGCGGGGATATATGACGGGAAATAATTGTCTTCGGATTTTTTTGTTTATTATTTTCTTAAAACTTCCTATCAAGGCGTCGGGACTTGGTGATTACTTTCATAAAGTGATTATAGCTTACCGATCAGACATTAGTCGTCCACATACCCCGGCCTGCGCCACACTACCTTTAAGAACCACGGAAGAAATACTCTCATTCAAAAAATAAATAAATAAATAAAAAAAGACGATAGGTGTCCCTGCAATAAAGTTATTATTGAAATATTTGTTATCATACAAAATACTGAGCAGGTGCAAGCCAAATAACAATCCGTCCTAAACTTGAGGGTCAACCAAAAGCACCTTTACCCTCCCTTCCCCCCCACCCCAGCAATTTTGACTACATTGATTGCCAGATCCAACTGGGGTTGACGTCGGCTCACTCGTCCAAAACAGGACAAGACTTACAGCGGGTGTGTGTAGCAGTGCTCTCGTGTCCTTGTGCGTCTTGCATGCACGCACGCACTTCCCCGAATGTAAGGGACTACATTCTACACGAGTCCCTATATTCCCCGAATGTAGGGACTCATCACGATCAGCACAAGATGGTCATGACTACCACTCTAGACTCTTCCCCTCGCATGCACACCTACAACTATGCGCCAGAATGACACACGTTTGTGACTCTGAACCTTTTATTTTAAGGCAATACTAACCTCGTTTGGAGGCTTCTTGGTTACCACTGAGCATCTATTCGATCCCTGAAAGTGTTGGGCTTGATTTAAGATTGTCTTGGGTGAATGAGGAGCAAGAGAGTACTTATGGGTGGTGCCGACTGTATATTAGACAACTGGCGAGTCAAGTCTTGGCACTTGCCTATCTCATGCAGTCTTGCCTAGTACATCACCCTTCACATACCGCGTGTATCTTGCACAATGGACTGGCCAACAGTTAATAGGCCGACACATTGTTAGAGTGACCGGGTCGGGTCGCGTGGTCAGCTGCGGAGGGGGGAGGTCTGGGACGAGGGGGCACTGCATCAACACAACTTCCAGCAGTAACTGAAGTAACCTGACCTAACAAGTGTCTCAGTTACATAAAGACTGTGCCAACAAGTTTCCTCTTCCCCAAACTTGACCACTTAAAAAGTTTCAAGCAAACAGGACACCAACTCAATACTACAAACAACCCAACCAGGTAGTTTGTAAGCGGACTGGCTGACAAAAAACTGACTTTCAGGTTATTTTTTTTTTTTTTTTTTGCATAAGTGACAAAAAATCTCTTTCAAAATAGTCTAGCAATCATTGATCAATTATTGCGATAAGTTGTGCCCGAACGTAACCCACTACCTGTCATATAGGCGATTTTTCGTCGTGTGTGTGACGGGAGGTTCGCCCTTATGATAGGTGTGTGGCTTACACCCTTATAAACTCCCCTGTAAACACCGTTGAATGCGGGGGAAGCCTTGATGAAGAAGCATAGAATCTTTTTGGTATTTTTTATAATTTTCTTTTATCATCCTAAGTATACACTACGATTTTATGAAAAATTACCATACAATATATACGGCGTTGTAGAAAAGTACAAAAAATAAACTCATTACGGATTAGAGTGCATAGGTATTGTGAACTAACTTATGACACTGACGACAGTTGTTCAACGCTGTACTGGAAGACCCATGGAACGAAGCAGCTGCTGACGAATCATTTCCATCGAGTTCTGAATCAAGGAGAACCGCCCGAACTCAACCATGGGTAACCTCAAGGCCAACCTCTGATTCCCACACGCAACCCTCTAAGAGCTTTGATTGGCTGGCACGAACTGTCAGGTAGAGTTGGCAATTCTGATTGGTGGGTGGTAAATGACAAGATTCGACCTGGTGAGGATGAGGTAGCGTGGAGAGATAGGCCTCGAGGTGGACCTGTGGAGGCTGGGGTTATAGGCAGGGCGGGGAGGACATGCCGACGTGAGGCTTCCACCATAGGCTTAAACAAAATTGAGAATAATTCCTTCCCCAGCCTACATACCACCTATACTGGTGGTGAGTGTGGAGTGCGATGAGCCTTGCCCAACTGGTGGGAGCAAACCCGCACTTTGTGTCCTCTCCGCCTGCCGCCACTACAACACTGCGGGACCTGGACTCTGCCTCCCACAACTATGGGGCGACAAGCATGCAGGTCGGGGCGAAAAAGGTGCTAAGCCACAAGGCAATGCATCACTACTTTTATACTTGATTCTCACTACAGTTTTCAACTCATAAAAGTCCATGGTGCCTCATGCCAGCGAGGGATGTTTGACCATTATATAGGGGCTTGCGTACTTTATGGCTCAGCGTCATTTAACGCCTCGAGCTGAAGAAGAGATCCCCGGCGCAAAACATCAACTTTCGCCGCCGCCAACAGGGGGCATATTCTTGCTGCTTTACCACAGAACGCGCACCTGTTGACACGAGCGAAACCTGGTGCTTTGCAATAGTGAATCGTACACATCACGACAGCAAACACAAAGGCGATGTGGTTTTTTTTCAGCTCTTTATAAAATGAATGAAAAATAATGCTTTCTTTTTTCTCCTCTACATCACGTACATACAATATAGAGATTAGGACACCTAAACTACTCGATTCTGATGTCCTCAGAAATTGTATAGAAATAAAGTAATAAAAATAATTTCTTAGATCACTCAATCTAGGCTACACAAACAAAGTACACGATAAATTTTCCTCTAATAAATCATATATATTAAAATAGATATATGAAAAACTACTTAAACTTTCATCTTTTGTAAATAGCGATCAAGTTGTGCTCTATGGTAAGATACGAGGGGGGGCGGGTATATCTCTATAATCATTATAGGTTATTTGGGAGCAAGAGACCAGGGCTCTCTCGGCTCCTCCACACACTGTACGTCCGTGAGGCATACATCAAGAGGATGGATGTGGGTGGGTTGATCAGTTGGTAAGCAGGAAAGCCTTCACACAAAAGGCTCTCCAGGGAAGGTTGTGGGAGGAGTTAAGAGAGAGCCCTCAGCTCTAATCTCGGCAAACTCTGGTTTCAATGCGACACACTTGCGACAATTTTGAGCCCACAAGCTGCTCCGGCTGACAAAAAGTGACGGAGCAGCCGTAAAGCCTCGGCATTGTTAAGGTGGCGACATTAAAAGATCCATACTATCCCAAGCAGACACTGATATAAAACGAATATAAACAGTTTGGGTGAGAATCGAAAGGGTATAATAACACTTTTTAAACTATTAGTCGGTAATGTTACTCTCCCGCTCCAAGTAATGTCTGTCGCAGATTATCAACCGGCAGTAGTAGCTACATAGGGCAGCAAGATATACATTGTTAATCATAAAATCTTCTCTCCCTAGTGAACAAAATGTGACAAATTTGCACCTATGTACCATCAACGCATGCCTCCGTGCTCCCTTGTAGTATGTCCAGCACATTCACAAATGTACAATCTAATCTGCATTAATTTAATTCTTTTGGCATGAGTGATACAGTAGTGAGGATGCACGGATTATGCCTGGTACAGCGTGAGGGGAACATTATACAGTAAGCGTGGCGAGGGAGGCCCAAGACATTATCTATCCTATCACTGAACATCTCTCTCATACCCTCAAGTCAGGGTACATGCACAAAAGGGTACATTTAAATTACATACATTTTATATTTAGGATAGGTAGAAAAAATATATCAAAGGAACTAAAACACTCAACTGTAAACTTTCATTAAAAAGAAAAGAAAAAATATAAATCTTAGGACAAAAATATATTACCTTAAAAACTAAATATTTTATCCCCTTGAGTCTCCAAGAAGACCCACAAAGATTATCCAATCTTTGTGTCGAGAGCATAGTCAACAAGAGGCAGCGAGACAGACGCAAAGCCTGCGAAACTCCCAGCCATCCTCATCAATAATTGGTTTATCAGGCTTCTCTCTATATATATATCTATATATTTATATATGGTCTTGGGCCGGCCTTCCCTAACGCCCCTGCTTACAATCACACATGGACACCATATCGCTATCTGGTTTAGGGGAGAGGGGACAGGAGGTTAGCATATAATATCCCACGAGGCCAGGAAGGGTAGAGGGGGCCACGGGGAGCGGTGGTGTTCAACAGGATAGGGAAGAGAAAAGCACCAAATACGAGTGTGTTGTGGGAAACACAAGTTCTCGTACTCTTGCTCTCTAGTGTCCTTTACCCCTTATCACCGCCACCCCATGGCCGCCTCAACTGCCACGCCTCGTATATATATACCACTTGTACAAAAAAGGTTCTATAAAATGTGCACGGCGCTTTTCAGTCCTTCAAGTCAGACAAAAACAAACATTATCACAAAAAGGCATTGATAATTAAATATATTGGAAATTAAAGATTGGTCTAGAATACTGATTTTTTCATCTCTATACAAAATAAAGTTTTCACATCTCATAGTTTTTTATTTTCATTTATATATCAATAATGAGCAAGAACTTAGATAAAGCACTATGACTAAGGTAATATCACTGTATTGCTTCCATTACATGAATGCACAAGCAGGTCAACTCTGTGGTCGGTGGCTCAGTGGGCATGGTTGGATGTTCTTCAGAGGCAAGGTTCATGGGTGAAGGATGATGAGGCATTAAGCTGCAGATATACTTCATGTGACGGCAGGTATAGGTAGGGTGAGGTTGTAGGGTGTCAGGGATTGGGTAGGGATAGCAGGTGGGATCAAGGCACGAGTCGATCGTTCGGGTGGGTGTGGGACAGCTTTGTGCTGGTCCCAGCATGTCTATCTGCTGTTGACATAAGGTGTTCCCTGGTCCTGGTGCCTTCCCCAACTACCCACTGGCCACCTGGCCACCCGCACCCCGCCCGAGTGTCTCGTGGGCGGCCCGGCGTGCGGGAGGCGGGCTGGTTGGTGGGCAGCTGTCACGCTCGCATGACAGCTGAAGAGGAGGATATGTAGCATTCGTTGTGAGGCGGCAGGTGGGCTGGACGGGGCGAGCAGGGACACGTGCGGGCGGAGTGTTCAGATCTGGGTGAGCGGGTGAGGAGTGTCTAGCACCGCTCCGGTGATGCCCAATCCACCCAGGCCAGCCCGAGCCGTCCTGAGTACCCAGGAAACAATGGGAGATCGGAGAGGGAGCGTAACCCTCCCTGGCAGTTGTTGGCAGGCAGCGGCTGCATCGAGCACAACGCTGGCCTGCCTATCACAGCCTAGCGACAGCTGTTCTCCACTCTGACTTGAAGGACTTGCGCCACCAGCACCGACGGCTCGGCCACCAGACATGAGCCACATCAAGCCCGGGGCCACACTGTCACCCGAGTCATACCAATAAAAAATGCCTTGCATTCAGAGAAACTGAAATAAAAATATCTTCACACTACTTGAATAAAAAAATTTATTATTAATTTTAAAGATAATACTCTTCATTCTGGAGATATATGCTATACAGACTATTATACTCTATAAGCTGGTGGTGGGGTAGAGGGGTCTGAGGTGCCCATCAGCGCCGCGATGGCCTCTTGCACGCGTAGTTGACCAAGTGGCGCGTTAGGAGAAGATGCGAATGGCCTGAGTGACCTTCATTCGGCAGATTGGGCATTCGGCGGCCTCTGACACCAATTTGTTGGCACAATCCAGGCAGAATAAGTTGTGGCCACAGGGCACGAGCGCTGCTACCACCTCAGATTCACAGCATGTGACGCAACGCTTCTTCTCGTCGATGCCATGCCCTAGCTGGCTCATCCCTGAGACGGACAGCCCCTGGACAGACTGGAAGGCATTCAACTGCTGGCTGAGATCTGGGGTGGAGGCTGGTGAGGACGACGAGGGTGAGGACGTGGGTAATCCACCCAAGCCTCCGGTTAGTGCAGAATTGAGCGACGCAAGTGATGGTGCAGCCCCAAGCCCTGGTGCTGGATCTGAACTGATTCGCCTTGCAGGGGGGTGAGCCTCTAGCGAGGGGGAGAGCCTGGAAGATGGCGGCGAGGCTCCCGATACTGACGACGACCGGCGTGTCAGCGACGATGATAAAGTGGAGGACAAGGAGGAGAAGGTAGAACTGAGAGAGGAACTGGAGCTGACTGTGGAACTCATGTTGTTGCCTAAAGGGCGTCCAAGCTCACCCCAAATGCTGGGAGGAGCTGGGTCAAATGATGGGGAAGAACCCATGGAGGATCCTAGGGACCCCAGTCCTTCGTCCACGCTGTACAGACCCAGGCCGCCAGTCCCACTGCCGTCACTGTTCAGCTTACCACTCCCAACACCACTGGTGAAGGTAGAGAAGAGAGAGGATTCCAGGCCACTCCCCCCCTTATTAGATGACCCAAGGAGAGATGACCCAGCATCTCCCAACAGTGTGAAAGCAGAGTTCAAGTCATTGAGCTGATTCAATGTGTTCAAACTGTTCAGAGTGTTCAACCCATTCATGCCATTCAGAGAATTATTCAACCCACTTCCACTGAGACCATTCAATCCGTTCATCCCGTTTAGGCTGGACCCACTGGAAAGGCCATTGGTGAGACCATTAAGGCCCGTTCCACTGGTAATACCGTTGATTGAGGCAAGACCATTGAGCGAGGAGTTGTTGAGCTTGTAGAGCGACGAGACCAGCTCCGAGGAGGCAGGGCTGAAGAGGTTGTCGAGGCCATGCGAGGGTGGAGGAAAGTCACCATGGTGGCGCGCAGCAGCAGCAGCGTTAGGCTCGTCCTGGTCCAGCAGACCTCCCGTGCGCATTGCGATGTGTGCCTCGATCTCCTTCCTTGCCTGCTCCACAGACTCTGGCAACCCTGTCACTTCAAACACCGGCTCCTTGTCCCTTGAAGGCGTGACGATATAGGTGTGCGTTTGCTGTTGGATGCGCTTTATGGTAGCTCCCTTGGGCCCGACCACCAGACCCACCACGCGGTATGGGACGCGCACCTGTATGGTAACCTGACCAGGCACATTGGTTGGTGGCCCGGGCGCCATTGACCCATTCAAGTTGTTTTTACGGCAGGCGCGGATTTGGCTGAAGTGTTCAGCAGCTGACAGAATCTCCCGTTTGGCCATTCCTACGTCTTCTTTGCGACCTGCAAGAAGGTACGATACATCAGTATACAATGCATACAGTCAAAATTATTGGACTTAAAGTAAGTGGTGTATTTGAAAGCACAGCGCCACCGTAATGGCAATAATTCGTTATAATCTTACACAATAATGTTAGACTTATGTTACTGGAACACTTAGAAAACATCTGGTCAGCATATAATTGTACACAAGTCAAGGTCAGGCGTGAAGGGTTATTAGATCAACCAGTGAATAGGCTTAATATAAAACACCCCCACACACCGTCCCCATCACGGGCTAGTCATGCCCGTGCCACCTCTTTGATGAAGATTAATTAAGCCATCCATCAATCAATCACCTGCCCCCCACACACCTAATGGATCAAATCAACAGACTGCCAGTTTCCATGGGCCAACCCCCATCTGAAATTAGAACTGTATAGCCAATGTGTATAGCATCAGTCGAGGACTTGACCTGACCAATATACACATAGTCAACCAGTCACAGAAAACTTTAATTCCAACCCATCTTCCTCTTTAGACGATTTTTATTATTATTTTTTAACTATGTAGACCAGACATGTACATTGACGTAATGGACAGTTACACAATAGAATTTGGTACTCTTCACTTTAGCTTTTTTATTTTTGTGTTTGACTATGAAGCTAAAAAGCAACCTTAAATATTGAAGGATCAGGAGTAACTGACTATTTTGAGACATTCCAAGTAACTTTATATGCTTCAGTGGTGCTTATACACTGGTGGCGGCCGCTGCAGGTCTTTGCATATACTCATTGTAAGTTGACCAATCCACACACTAGAAAAAGAAGGGACGACGACGTTTCGGTCCGTCCTGGACCACTCAAGCCGATTGTCCCATCATCAAGTCGATGAGAATGGTCCAGGACGGACCGAAACGTCGTCGTCTCCATTTTCTAGTGTGTGGATTGGTCAATATACTTCAGCCACGTTGTGACTCCTCGTCTGCACTCATTGTAAGCCTCAGTCGGGCTTATGAGCCCACAAGCCCTTACATTGTACAGGTGCTGCCGTAAACCAGGTCATGATGGACACACGGCCCTGACAGCATCAAGTTCTCCTTAAGCCGGAGATCAGGATCAGATCGAAAGGATAATTTTCTCTCTGAAATGGTTCACAACGAGAAGCTGACAGCCTCGTCTACCCCAGCCTCTAACGTGTCCTCCCTCCCCACCAGCCTGTCCTCCCTCCCACAACCTGTCCTCCCTCCCACTAGCCTGTCCTCCCTCCCACCAGCCTGTCCTCCTACAAAGAACGTCGCTTTTCGCTCATACATACGGAAAAAAATTGTCGTACTAGGAAAATGGAGGCGGCTGGCCAAAGTGACGTACTGTTGCGTTTTCAGTTTAGAGTCCTCTGGTAGATTAGGATAAGGGGGCACTTTTAATACGACTGTTTCTTGACGTTAGAAGGTCCACTCCTTCCTCAGTGACAAGCCGGCCTCAGCTTCTGGGGTCCCCAAGGCGAGTAGTTATATCACCCCAGCCAGACCTTCTAAGGTCTCCCAACGTCAAGAAACAGTCGTATTAAAGTACCCCCTTATTCCTAACCCACCAGAAGACCCAAAACGAAACTCAACAGTACGTCACTTTCGCCAGCCGCTTCCATTTTCCTAGTACGACAATTTGTGGTCGTATGTAACGCCTACGAGCGAAAAGCTATGTTCATTATAGGACAGGTTATACATCACAACCATCGGTGGCTTTAACTAACCTACCCGGGGAGCCGGTGGCTGAGCGGACAGAACACTGGAAGCGTGATCCTGTTGTCCCGGGTTCGATCCCACGCGCCGGCGAGAAACAATGGGCAGAGTTTCTTTCACCCTGGTGCCCTGTTACCTAGCAGTAAATAGGTACCTGGGAGTTAGTCAGCTGTCACAGGCTGCTTCCTGAGGGTGGAGGCCTGGTCGAGGACCGGGCCGCGGGGACACTAAGCCCCGAAATCATCTCGATATAACCCTCCCTCCCCTCCCCAATATACAACCCCTAAGCCTCCAACAGCCACAATAGCGACGTGTTATATTTCCACACATTGTCATGATGACGTCCTTCCTCTTCACCGAGCTGGCCACCAACCTCGAATCACGACAAACTAGTCTAGCATGGAGGGGGGAGGGGTATGAGAGAGGGGAGAGGGGGCAGAGGAGGGGTATGAGCGAGGGGAGACGGGGAGAGGAGGAGTAGACGAGGGGGGGGGGGGGGGAGCGATGCTGAAAGTGAGAGCATGGTGGTGAGGGGTTGGTGTGGAGTGAGGGGGGGGAAGGGGGTTACCTTGCCATTGATTCACAGAATCAACCCCCCTCCCCGCGGTCCTCCCTCCCCCTCTTTCACTCTCTCTAACACACACACACACACACACACACACACACACACACACACACACACAGAAACCCATGCTTTAATCAGAATTGCAAGTTAGCAAAGCAGCTAAGTAAAAGGGCATGGAGAAACTATAGAAACAGAACACTAGAGAGCAGAGAAAGATACCAGTGTCAGGAATGAATATGTCAGGGTGAGAAGAGAGATAAGAGAGGCAATATGAAAATGACATAGCGAGTAAGGCAAAGACTCAACCCAAACTGCTGCACAGCCACATCAGGAGAAAAACAACAGTGAAGGAACAAGCAATGAGACTGAGGATAGGGGCAGAGAGATTCACTACAAACGACAAGGAAGCGTGCAAGAAACCCAATAAGAAATTCCAGGAAGTCTTCACCTCAGAGCAAGGAGAAGTCCCAGAGATAAGGGAGGGAACACCAACCCAGACACCATTAGAGTAGTTTGTGATTACTAGCGGGGAGGTGAGGAAGCAGCTGCTAGATTTGGACGTGACAAAGGCTATAGGCCCGGATGGAATCTCACCATGGATTCTAAAGGAAGGAGCAGAGGCTCTGTGCCTACCACTCTCCATGGTGTACAAATCACTGGTAACAGGTGAACTGCCAAAAATTTGGATAACGGCCAATGTAGTCCCAACAGACAAGAAGGGTGATAGGCAGGAGGCACTGAACTACAGGCCAGTGTCCCTAACTTGCATTCCATGCAAGATGATGGAGAAGATAAAGCGAAATAAGCTAGTGGAACATCTGGAGTGAAATAACTTTGTAACAACATCAGCATGGGTTCAGAGATGGCAAAATATGCCTAACAGGTTTAATTGAGTTCTATGCCCAGGCAACAAAAATCAGGCGAGAGAGCTGGGCAGACTGCATATTTCTGGACTGCTAGAAAGCTTTTGACACAGTACCACACAAGAGACTAGCGCACAAACGGGAGATGCAGGCTGGAGTGAAAGAGAAGGTACTCAACTGGATAAGGGAGTACCTAAGCAACAGGAGACAACGAGTCAGTGTGAGGGGTGAGGTCTCAGATTGGCGAGACGTTACGAGTGGAGTACCGCAGGGGTCAGTCCTTGGACCTATACTGTTTCTGGTATATGTAAATGATCTCCCAGAGGGTATAGAATCGTTTCTCTCATTGTTTGCTGATGATGCAAAAATAATGAGGAGGATCAAGACACAGGAAGATAGTAGGAGGCTACAAGATGACCTAGACAAACTGAAGGAACGGTCCAACAAATGGCTACTAAAGTTCAACCCAAGTAAATGTAAGGTAATGAAACTAGGCAGTGGAAACAGGAGGCCAGACACAGGATACAGAATAGGAGATGAAGTCCTTCACGAAACTGACAGAGAAAGAGCTAAGAGTTGATATCACGCCAAACCTGTCTCCTGAAGCCCACATCAAACGAATAACATCAGTGGCGTATGCGAGGCTGGCTAAACTCAGAACTGCTTTCAGAAACCTGTGTAAGGAATCCTTCAGAACCTTGTACACCACATATGTAAGACCAATCCTGGAGTATGCGGCCCCAGCATGGAGCCCTTATCTAGTCAAGCACAAGACGAAGCTGGAAAAAGCTCAAGAGGTATGCCACTAGGCTAGTCCCAGAACTAAGAGGCATGAGTTATGAGGACAGACTACGTGAACTGCACCTCACGTCGCTGGAAGACACAAGAGCTAGGGGGAGACTATGATCACCACATACAAAATTCTCAGGGGAATTGACAGGGTAGACAAGGCTGGATTATTTAACACGGGTGGTATGCGAACAAGGGAACACAGGTGGAGACTGAGTACCCAAATGAGCCACAGAGACATTAGAAAGAACCTTTTCAGTGTCAGTAGTTAACAAATGGAATGCATTAGGCAGTAATGTGGTGGTGGAGGCTGACTCCATACACAGTTTCAGGTGTAGATATGATTGAGCCCAGTAGGCTCAGGAACCTGTACACCAGTTGATTGACAGTTGAGAGGCGGGACCAAAGAGCCGGAGCTCAATCATTGCAAGCACAATTAGGCGAGTACACACACACACACACACACACACACACACACACACACACACACACACACACACACAGGCGCTGTACTGTCCCTCATGAGTACAAGGGCAGTGTTAACAAATCTTGCATGGCCTCTTACGCAATGGTGACAATTCTCACTCTGCACATCTTCATTCAACAAATTCCCATCAGTTCGGAGATTTGCCGTGTCCTCTATATTGTCTACTCTCATAAAAATGTTCCTGTCGGCTGCAAAGTATATTGTACTATAGTGTGTGTCCTTGTCTATGTCCGATATGAGGAATGAGTGTCCAGCAGAGAGAGAGGCCTTTCGCGTCACTCATCTTGTGAGTGGACACACCGCCATAGTGTCAGTATTGGGCAGCGTCACTCATCCTGTGAGTGGACACACCGCCATAGTGACAGTATTGGGCAGCGTCACTCATCCTGTGAGTGGACACACCGCCATAGTGACAGTATTGGGCAGCGTCACTCATCTTGTGAGTGGACACACCGCCATAGTGACAGTATTGGGCAGCGTCACTCATCCTGTGAGTGGACACACCGCCATAGTGACAGTATTGGGCAGCGTCACTCATCCTGTGAGTGGACACACCGCCATAGTGACAGTATTGGGCAGCGTCACTCATCCTATGAGTGGACACACCGCCATAGTGACGGTATTGGGCAGCGTCACTCATCCTGTGAGTGGACACACCGCCATAGTGACAGTATTGGGCAGCGTCACTCATCCTGTGAGTGGACACACCGCCATAGTGACAGTATTGGGCAGCGTCACTCATCCTGTGAGTGGACACACCGCCATAGTGACAGTATTGGGCAGCGTCACTCATCCTGTGAGTGGACACACCGCCATAGTGACAGCATTGGGCAGCGTCACTCATCCTGTGAGTGGACACACCACCATAGTGACAGTATTGGGCAGCGTCACTCATCCTGTGAGTGGACACACGGCTATAGTGACAGTATTGGGCAGCGTCACTCATCCTGCGAGTGGACACACCGCCATAGTGACAGTATTGGGCAGCGCCACTCATCCTGCGAGTGGACACACCGCCATAGTGACAGTATTGGGCAGCGCCACTCATCCTGCGAGTGGACACACCGCCATAGTGACAGTATTGGGCGGCGCCACTCATCCTGTGAGTGGACACACCGCCATAGTGACAGTATTGGGCAGCGCCACTCATCCTGCGAGTGGACACACCGCCATAGTGACAGTATTGGGCGGCGTCACTCATCCTGTGAGTGGACACACCGCCATAGTGACAGTATTGGGCAGCGCCACTCATCCTGCGAGTGGACACACCGCCATAGTGACAGTATTGGCAGCGTCACTCATCCTGCGAGTGGACACACCGCCATAGTGACAGTATTGGCCAGCGCCACTCATCCTGTGAGTGGACACACCGCCATAGTGACAGTATTGGGCAGCGTCACTCATCCTGTGAGTGGACACACCGCCATAGTGACAGTATTGGGCAGCGTCACTCATCCTGTGAGTGGACACACCGCCATAGTGACAGTATTGGGCAGCGCCACTCATCCTGTGAGTGGACACACCGCCATAGTGACAGTATTGGGCAGCGTCACTCATCCTGTGAGTGGACACACCGCCATAGTGACAGTATTGGGCAGCGTCACTCATCCTGTGAGTGGACACACCGCCATAGTGACAGTATTGGGCAGCGTCACTCATCCTGTGAGTGGACACACCGCCATAGTGACAGTATTGGGCAGCGTCACTCATCCTGTGTGTGGACACACCGCCATAGTGACAGTATTGGGCAGCGCCACTCATCCTGTGAGTGGACACACCGCCATAGTGACAGTATTGGGCAGCGCCACTCATCCTGTGAGTGGACACACCGCCATAGTGACAGTATTGGGCAGCGCCACTCATCCTGTGAGTGGACACACCGCCATAGTGACAGTATTGGGCAGCGTCACTCATCCTGTGAGTGGACACACCGCCATAGTGACAGTATTGGGCAGCGTCACTCATCCTGTTAGTGGACACACCGCCATAGTGACAGTATTGGGCAGCGCCACTCATCCTGTGAGTGGACACACCGCCATAGTGACAGTATTGGGCAGCGTCACTCATCCTGTGAGTGGACACACCGCCATAGTGACAGTATTGGGCAGCGCCACTCATCCTGTGAGTGGACACACCGCCATAGTGACAGTATTGGGCAGTGTCACTCATCCTGTGAGTGGACACACCGCCATAGTGACAGTATTGGGCAGCGTCACTCATCCTGTGAGTGGACACACCGCCATAGTGACAGTATTGGGCAGCGTCACTCATCCTGTGAGTGGACACACCGCCATAGTGACAGTATTGGGCAGCGTCACTCATCCTGTGAGTGGACACACCGCCATAGCAGCATGTCCAACACTCCCCAATAGGAAGAAAACCCGCTGGGTTGTTCATCCTGTCACTTGTACCCAGACACAGCTGGGACTTGCTTAACTGTCTCAAGTGAACAGCTTCTCAAAACAAGAAGATTACCATCTGTCAACCCTTAAAATCTTACGTTATCTTGCGGGTGCAAAATCTTATCTGAGTGACCTACCACACACTGTAGGGACACTGACACAGCCAAAGCTACTCCATGCCTTTGAGATGTATTTATCTTAATAAAAATCACTTTAACTTGATTTACAACTTACCAGTAACGACGAACACTGGCTCCTCTCCTCTGACAGGGGTTTACAACTTACCAGTAACGACGAACACTGGCTCCTCTCCTCTGACAGGGGTTTACAACTTACCAGTAACGACGAACACTGGCTCCTCTCCTCTGACAGGGGTTTACAACTTACCAGTAACGACGAACACTGGCTCCTCTCCTCTGACAGGGGTTTACAACTTACCAGTAACGACGAACACTGGCTCCTCTCCTCTGACAGGGGTTTACAACTTACCAGTAACGACGAACACTGGCTCCTCTCCTCTGACAGGGGTTTACAACTTACCAGTAACGACGAACACTGGCTCCTCTCCTCTGACAGGGGTTTACAACTTACCAGTAACGACGAACACTGGCTCCTCTCCTCTGACAGGGGTTTACAACTTACCAGTAACGACGAACACTGGCTCCTCTCCTCTGACAGGGGTTTACAACTTACCAGTAACGACGAACACTGGCTCCTCTCCTCTGACAGGGGTTTACAACTTACCAGTAACGACGAACACTGGCTCCTCTCCTCTGACAGGGGTTTACAACTTACCAGTAACGACGAACACTGGCTCCTCTCCTCTGACAGGGGTTTACAACTTACCAGTAACGACGAACACTGGCTCCTCTCCTCTGACAGGGGTTTACAACTTACCAGTAACGACGAACACTGGCTCCTCTCCTCTGACAGGGGTTTACAACTTACCAGTAACGACGAACACTGGCTCCTCTCCTCTGACAGGGGTTTACAACTTACCAGTAACGACGAACACTGGCTCCTCTCCTCTGACAGGGGTTTACAACTTACCAGTAACGACGAACACTGGCTCCTCTCCTCTGACAGGGGTTTACAACTTACCAGTAACGACGAACACTGGCTCCTCTCCTCTGACAGGGGTTTACAACTTACCAGTAACGACGAACACTGGCTCCTCTCCTCTGACAGGGGTTTACAACTTACCAGTAACGACGAACACTGGCTCCTCTCCTCTGACAGGGGTTTACAACTTACCAGTAACGACGAACACTGGCTCCTCTCCTCTGACAGGGGTTTTGATATAAGTGTTGGTCTTGGCGCGTAAAGCTTTGATCTTGCAACCTGTAATAGATAAAAACCTGTATTACAACAATGTATCAAACATGCTTCACAATGTTACAACAATCCTCTCTTGCTTAAAACAATCACCAGGTCCCAGTAAATTTGGGACGTCACCAACGCGACGTCAGGACATCATCTACACCCCAGGTGACGTCTAGACCCCATCATCTACACCCCAGGTGACGTCTAGACCCCATCATCTACACCCCAGGTGACGTCAAGACCCCATCATCTACACACCAGGCGACATCAAGACCCCATTATCTACACCCCAGGTGACGTCTAGACCCCATCATCTACACCCCAGGTGACGTAAAGACCATCATCAACACCCCAGACGACGTCAACACCATCATCTACACCCCAGACGACGTCAAGACCCCATCATCTACACCCCAGACGACGTCAAGACCCCATCATCTACACCCCAGGTGACGTCAAGACCCCATCCTCTACACCCCAGGTGACGTCAAGACCCCATCCTCTACACCCCAGGTGACGTCAAGACCCCATCCTCTACACCCCAGACGACGTCAAGACCCCATCCTCTACACCCCAGACGACGTCAAGACCCCATCATCTACACCCCAGACGACGTCAAGACCCCATCATCTACACCCCAGACGACGTCAAGACCCCATCCTCTACACCCCAGACGACGTCAAGACCCCATCATCTACACCCCAGGTGACGTCAAGACCCCATCATCTACACCCCAGACGACGTCAAGACCCCATCATCTACACCCCAGGTGACGTCAACACCCCATCCTCTACACCCCAGACGACGTCAACACCCCATCCTCTACACCCCAGACGACGTCAACACCCCATCCTCTACACCCCAGACGACGTCAACACCCCATCCTCTACACCCCAGACGACGTCAACACACCATCCTCTACACCCCAGACGACGTCAACACCCCATTCTCTACACCCCAGACGACGTCAACACCCCATCATCTACACGCCAGACGACGTCAACACCCCATCCTCTACACCCCAGACGACGTCAACACCCCATCCTCTACACCCCAGACGACGTCAACACACCATCCTCTACACCCCAGACGACGTCAACACCCCATTCTCTACACCCCAGACGACGTCAACACCCCATCATCTACACCCCAGACGACGTCAAGACCATCATCTACACCCCAGGTGACGTCAAGACCCCATCATCTACACCCCAGGTGACGTCAACACCCCATCATCTACACTCCAGGCGACGTCAAGACCCCATCCTCTACACCCCAGACGACGTCAACACCCCATCCTCTACACCCCAGACGACGTCAACACCCCATCCTCTACACCCCAGACGACGTCAACACCCCATCCTCTACACCCCAGACGACGTCAACACCCCAGGCGACGTCAAGACCCCATCATCTACACCCCAGGTGACGTCAAGACCCCATCATCTACACCCCAGGTGACGTCAAGACCCCATCATCTACACCCCAGGTGACGTCAAGACCCCATCATCTACACCCCAGGTGACGTCAAGACCCCATCATCTACACCCCAGGTGACGTCAAGACCCCATCAACTACACCCCAGGTGACGTCAAGACCCCATCATCTACACCCCATGTGACGTCTAGACCCCATCATCTACACCCCAGGCTACCTACCTTGAGTCAAGACCCCATCCTCTACACCCCAGGTGACGTCAACACCCCATCATCTACACCCCAGACGACGTCAAGACCCCATCATCTACACCCCAGACGACGTCAAGACCCCATCCTCTACACCCCAGACGACGTCAAGACCCCATCATCTACACCCCAGGTGACGTCAAGACCCCATCATCTACACCCCAGACGACGTCAAGACCCCATCATCTACACCCCAGGTGACGTCAAGACCCCATCCTCTACACCCCAGACGACGTCAAGACCCCATCCTCTACACCCCAGACGACGTCAAGACCCCATCCTCTACACCCCAGACGACGTCAACACCCCATCATCTACACCCCAGACGACGTCAACACCCCATCATCTACACCCCAGACGACGTCAACACCCCATCCTCTACACCCCAGACGACGTCAACACCCCATCCTCTACACCCCAGACGACGTCAACACACCATCCTCTACACCCCAGACGACGTCAACACCCCATTCTCTACACCCCATCATCTACACCCCAGACGACGTCAACACCCCATCCTCTACACCCCAGACGACGTCAACACACCATCCTCTACACCCCAGACGACGTCAACACACCATCCTCTACACCCCAGACGACGTCAACACCCCATTCTCTACACCCCAGACGACGTCAACACCCCATCATCTACACCCCAGACGACGTCAAGACCCCATCATCTACACCCCAGGTGACGTCAAGACCCCATCATCTACACCCCAGGTGACGTCAACACCCCATCATCTACACTCCAGGCGACGTCAAGACCCCATCCTCTACACCCCAGACGACGTCAACACCCCATCCTCTACACCCCAGACGACGTCAAGACCCCATCCTCTACACCCCAGACGACGTCAAGACCCCATCATCTACACCCCAGACGACGTCAAGACCCCATCATCTACACCCCAGGTGACGTCAAGACCCCATCATCTACACCCCAGGTGACGTCAAGACCCCATCATCTACACCCCATGTGACGTCTAGACCCCATCATCTACACCCCAGGCTACCTACCTTGAGTCAAGACCCCATCCTCTACACCCCAGGTGACGTCAACACCCCATCATCTACACCCCAGACGACGTCAACACCCCATCCTCTACACCCCAGACGACGTCAACACCCCATCCTCTACACCCCAGACGACGTCAACACCCCATCATCTACACCCCAGGCGACGTCAAGACCCCATCATCTACACCCCAGGTGACGTCAAGACCCCATCATCTACACCCCAGGTGACGTCAAGACCCCATCATCTACACCCCAGGTGACGTCAAGACCCCATCATCTACACCCCAGGTGACGTCAAGACCCCATCATCTACACCCCAGGTGACGTCAAGACCCCATCATCTACACCCCAGGTGACGTCAAGACCCCATCATCTACACCCCAGGTGACGTCAAGACCCCATCATCTACACCCCAGGTGACGTCAAGACCCCATCATCTACACCCCAGGTGACGTCAAGACCCCATCATCTTCACCCCAGGTGACGTCAACACCCCATCATCTACACCCCAGACGACGTCAAGACCCCATCCTCTACACCCCAGACGACGTCAAGACCCCAACCTCTACACCCCAGACGACGTCAACACCCCATCCTCTACACCCCAGACGACGTCAACACCCCATCCTCTACACCCCAGACGACGTCAACACCCCATCCTCTACACCCCAGACGACGTCAACACCCCATCCTCTACACCCCAGACGACGTCAACACCCCATCCTCTACACCCCAGACGACGTCAACACCCCATCCTCTACACCCCAGACGACGTCAACACCCCAGACGACGTCAACACCCCATCCTCTACACCCCAGACGACGTCAACACCCCATCCTCTACACCCCAGACGACGTCAACACCCCATCCTCTACACCCCAGACGACGTCAACACCCCATCCTCTACACCCCAGACGACGTCAACACCCCATCCTCTACACCCCAGACGACGTCAACACCCCATCCTCTACACCCCAGACGACGTCAACACCCCATCCTCTACACCCCAGACGACGTCAACACCCCATCCTCTACACCCCAGGCGACGTCAACCCCTCCCCCCAACATAAAGGGCAACACCCCCTACACCCAGACCTTGAGAACCCACACAGGAAACACCACAAGGAAGGTAGGGGGGGGGGGGGGCGGAGCAAGACATCGGAAGACACGCAAGCTGTGAAAGATAGATACATTTTACACTACAGATAGTGTAAATGATAGTATGAATGACGGACACATTTTACACTACAGATAGTGTAAATGATAGTATGAATGACGGATACACTTTACACTATAGATAGTGTAAATGATAGTATGAATGACGGACACACTTTACACTACAGATAGTGTAAATGATAGTATGAATGACGGATACACTTTACACTACAGATAGTGTAAATGATAGTATGAAAGATAAAGATACATTTTACACTACAGATAGTGTAAATCATAGTATGAATGACGGATACACTTTACACTAATACAATTGGATGTGAGATTGTTGCTATCCATCACACGGAGGAAAATGACGACCTTGATTTTTCAACAAAGAAAGATTTTGAAATTGAAGAAAGATTATATTTAGGGGGTTAATGGACGTCGAATCGAACCCAGACATTTTGTGTATATAGGTAGAGAACCTTTTTGCCACTTGTGTATTATTTACAAGCTCTCTCACCTTGTAGGGGGAGGCAGGCGGGGGGGGGGGGGGGGGAGACAGAGGGAGGGATAGGAGAGAAAGGGAAGATAGAGAGGAAGAATTGCCAGACAGGGAGGGTGTGGGGGATAGGAGCCAACCTACAAGGTCACAGGGGTCGGAGGAATAGGTGTGTGGGAAGGAGTGGGGGGGGGGGGGGGATGGGGAGGAGGAGTGGGGGGGGAGCCCAGAAATAGCTCAACCTCTGCCCCAGTAACCCCCCCCCTTCCCCAAGCCTGGGGGGAGGGGGGGGGGACAGGGAACACGACAGACAAAGGAGTACACACAGGAGGACGCGGAGGAGGATCGAACCCTGGAAGCCCGGTAGCGGCTGCTTCCTAAAACCCGTCCTGGCCCCCAGGTGTAGCAGTGCCAGAAGTGCCACATTAGAGTCATATTCACCCCTCCCCCCTCTCCCCTCTAGGAGGGACACGTCTAAAGCCCCTCCCCTCCCCCTCTCTCTGGGAGAGGGGGGGGGGGGGTCCCCACAGTTGATGACCAGGCTAGCCAATCTGTGCTGGTGACTCACCCTAACTCATCATGATGAGCTGTGCACATTTTGCCATCTCTGGACTCATCAATGTTTAGGACACAGGGGAGGGGGTAAGGGGGGGATA